AATAGTGCCCCACTTTTGGTGTCAGTGGGAGGAAAGTGCCCCATCATTGGTGTCATTGGGAGGAATAGTGCCCCATCATTGGTGTCAGTGGAGGAATAGTGCCCCATCTTTGGTGTCAGTGGGAGGAATAGTGCCCATCTTTGGGTGCCCAGTGGAGGAATAGTGCCCCATCATTTCGTTGGTGTCAGTGTGGGGGGGAGGGGGGGATAGTGCCCCATCACTGGTGTCAGTGGGAGGAATAGTGTCCCAACATTGGTGTCAGTGGGAGGAATAGTGTCCCATCATTGGTGTCAGTGGGATGAATAGTACGTCATTGGTGTCAGAGGGGGGGAATAGTGCCCCATCTTTGGTGTCAGTGGGAGGAAAAGTACGTCATTGGTGTCAGAGGGGGGGAATAGTGCCTCGTCATTGGTGTCAGTGGGAGGAAAATAGTAAGTCATTGGTGCCAGAGGGGGGAATAGTGCCCGTCATTGGTGTCAGTGGGGGAAGGAATAGTGCCCCATCATTGGTATCAGTGGGGGAGGAATAGTGCCCCATCATTGGTGTCAGTGGGAGGAATAGTGCCCCATCATTGGTGTCAGTGGGAGGAATAGTGCCCCATCATTGGTGTCCAGTGGGGGGGGGAATATTGCCCCATCATTAATGGTGTCAGTGCCTCATCATTGGTGTCAGTGGGAGGAATAGTGCCTCGTCATTGGTGTCAGTGGGAGGAATAGTGCCCCATCATTGGTGTCAGTGGGAGGAATAATGCCCCATCATTAGTATCAGTGACACCAATGATACTTAACTTGCTGACCCCAGGTATGCAGCCAGCATACCTGGTTGCAGCAGTCCCATCAGCACGGCACACTTACCTGTCAGCTGTCCTTCTTCACTCTGGTGCTTCTCCATCACTCGATGTTCGCGAGGCCGCTCGGCTCCGCCTCCTCGCAGCTGATTGGCCGCCAGTGTGCCTTTCCTGAGCTACAGTTCTGGCGCCCAATCACCGGTGAGGAGGCGTAGCCGAGCGGCAAGAATGAGGGCGTGGCCGGAAGTGAATGAAGGAGCAGTGCTTTCTGGACTGGATCGTCGTGGGCCTGGGACCAGAGCCAGGTAAGGCACAGCAGCCCCCTGCCCACCCCTGTATTTAGTGTCCCTTCCTCACGGAAAATACGACCCTGCCGGCGGGCCCAGTTTGAGGACCCCCTGATATAGATATTACAATGTATCACGTAGAGCAGGGGTCAGCAAGTTAGGTGTCATTGTTTGGAATAGTGCCCCATCATTGGTGTCACTGATACCAATGATGGGGCACTATTCCCCCCCACTGACACCAATGACGGGGCACTATTCCCCCCACTGACACCAATGACACCAATGACACACATGGGGGCACTATTCCCCCCACTGACACCAATGATGGGGCACTATTCCTCCCACTGACACCAATGACGGGACACTATTCCTCCCACTGACACCAATGATGGGGCACTATTCCCCCCCGACACCAAAAACGGGACACTATTCCTCCCACTGACACCAAAAAAGGGACACTATTCCTCCCACTGACACCAATGATGGGGCACTATTCCTCCCACTGACACCAATGATGGGGCACTATTCCTCCCACTGATACCAATGATGGGGCACTATTCCTCCCACTGACACCAATGATGGGGCACTATTCCACTGACACCAATGATGGGGCACTATTCCTCCCACTGATACCAATGATGGGGCACTATTCCTCCCACTGACACCAATGATGGGACACTATTCCTCCCACTGACACCAATGATGGGACACTATTCCTCCCACTGACACCAATGATGGGACACTATTCCTCCCACTGACACCAATGATGGGGCACTATTCCCCCCCTCCCCCACACTGACACCAACGATGGGGCACTATTCCTCCCCCCCAACAATGGGGCACTATTCCTCCCCCCACTGACACTGCTGGGGCACTATTCTTCCCCCCACTGACACTAACAATGGGGCACGATTCTTCCCACTGACACCAACGATGGGACACTATTCCTCCCCCCACTGACACTGATGGGGCACTATTCTTCCCCCCACTGACACTGATGGGGCACTATTCTTCCCCCCACTGACACCGATGGGGCACTGTTTCTCCCACTGATACCAATGATGGGGCACTTTTCTTCCCACTGACACCAACGATGGGGCACTATTCCTCCCACTGACATCAACGACGGGGCACTATTCCTCCCACTGACACCAACGATGGGGCACTATTCCTCCCACTGACACCAACGATGGGGCACTGTTCCTCCCACTGACACCAACGACAGGGCACTATTCCTCCCACTGACACCAACGACGGGGCACTATTCCTCCCAATGACACCAATGACGGGGCACTATTCCTCCCACTGACACCAACGACGGGGCACTATTCCTCCCACTGACACCAATGACGGGGCGCTATTCCTCCCACTGACACCAACGACGGGGCATTATTCCTCCCACTGACACCAATGACGGGGCGCTATTCCTCCCACTGACACCAATGATGGGGCACTATTCCTCCCAATGATACCAATGATGGGGCACTATTCCTCCCACTGACACCAATGACGGGGCACTATTCCTCCCACTGACACCAATGATTGGACACTATTCCTCCCACTGACACCAATGATGGGACACTATTCCTCCCACTGACACCAATGATGGGCACTATTCCTCCCACTGACACCAATGATGGGGCACTATTCCCCCCCTCCCACACTGACACCAACGATGGGGCACTATTCCTCCCCCACCAACGACGGGGCATTATTCCTCCCCCCACTGACACCAATGGGGCACTATTCCTCCCCCCACTGACACTGAACAACGGGGGCCATTATTCTTCTCCCACTGACACCAATGACGGGGCACTATTCCTCCCACTGACACCACGATGGGGCACTATTCCCCCCACTGACACCAACGATGGGGCACTATTCCTCCCACTGACACCAACGATGGGGCACTGTTCCTCCCACTGACACCAACGACGGGGCACTATTCCTCCCACTGACACCAACGACGGGGCACTATTCCTCCCAATGACACCAACGACGGGGCACTATTCCTCCCACTGACACCAACGACGGGGCACTATTCCTCCCACTGACACCAACGACGGGGCACTATTCCTCCCACTGACACCAACGACGGGGCACTATTCCTCCCACTGACACCAACGACGGGGCACTATTCCTCCCACTGACACCAATGACGGGGCGCTATTCCTCCCACTGACACCAACGACGGGGCATTATTCCTCCCACTGACACCAATGACGGGGCGCTATTCCTCCCACTGACACCAACGACGGGGCATTATTCCTCCCACTGACACCAACGACGGGGCGCTATTCCTCCCACTGACACCAACGACGGGGCATTATTCCTCCCACTGACACCAACGACGGGGCACTATTCCTCCCACTGACACCAACGACGGGGCACTATTCCTCCCACTGACACCAACGACGGGGCACTATTCCTCCCACTGACACCAACGACGGGGCACTATTCCTCCCACTGACACCAACGACGGGGCACTATTCCTCCCACTGACACCAACGACGGGGCACTATTCCTCCCACTGACACCAACGACGGGGCACTATTCCTCCCACTGACACCAACGACGGGGCACTATTCCTCCCACTGACACCAATGACGGGGCACTATTCCTCCCACTGACACCAATGACGGGGCACTATTCCTCCCACTGATACCAATGATGGGGCACTATTCCTCCCACTGACACCAATGACGGGGCACTATTCCTCCCACTGAGGTTACCAATGACGGGGCACTATGTATCATGTAGAGGTTACAATGTATCGTGTAGAGGTTACCATGTATCATGTAGAGGTTACAATGTATCATGTAGAGGTTACCATGTATCATGTAGAGGTTACCATGTATCATGTAGAGGTTACCATGTATCATGTAAAGGTTACAATGTATCATGTAGAGGTTACCATGTATCATGTAGAGGTTACCATGTATCATGTAGAGGTTACAATGTATCATGTAGAGGTTACCATGTATCATGTAGAGGTTACCGTGTATCATGTAGAGGTTACCATGTATCATGTAGAGGTTACAATGTATCATGTAGAGGTTAGAAGGCATTTCATGTTTTCTCCGGGTCCCCCCTCCCCCCCCTGCACACACTCAGGGATCTCCAGTATAAAGTATTCTATGAGGTCACACTGGAGGAAGGTCTGTACTGGGATCCCTGCCTAGAGCATAGCTGTCATCAAACCCCTCCCTGGGCGGGGCCAAGAAACCTCACCCGGCCACACCCCCATCTACTGTGTATACCCCATAGAAGGAGGACTGTCATCACAGAGAGAGGACTGCACAGGACAAGGACATGGCTGGTGAGTCCCTGCATGTGCCCCCCTTGTACTTCACTACTTTATGGACAGAACTTTGCACAAAGGCTTGCAATCCATATCTATGCACAAGTCCTGATCCCGGGGGGGGGGGGGTCCTGCACAGGCACAGTGATGGGAGGGTTTGCAGATGCTCATGTTGTGTTGAGCACATCTTGGCATGCTGAGAATATTGGGTCTCTATCTACACCAGCAATGACTGAGCGCAAGGAGACTCCCTGTGACTGGGTGCAGATTGAACCATCTCTGATTACCATGGGGGGGTATACAATACCATGGTGGGGGTATATACCATAAGGGGGGGGGTGTACCATGGGGGGGGTGTATACATTACCGGGGGGGGGGGTATACATACCATGGGGGGGGGTGTATACAATACCATGGGGGGGGAGTATACATTACCATGGGGGGGTGTATACATTACCATGGGGGGGGTGTATACATTACCATGGGGGGGTGTATATTACCATTGTACATTACCATGGGGGGGGGGTGTATACATTACCATGGGGGGGGGTGTACATTACCATGGGGGGGTGTATACACAGCTGTGTTTTAACAACGCATTACTATTCCTGAGTGCGCCAACTTTTGGCAGCCAATCAGAATATGGTTTGTACTGGTTTGATTTCAGCCGAGTGAATTCTGATCGCTTGCTGTGGTTTTCTGAACCTAAAGTGGTATTAAACCCCAAAGCATTATGTTGCAGCTTACCAATTCTTCTATGTGATGGCTGCATTAGTTTTCTCTTTTAGTCTTTCTTCTCTTTTCAGCTGGTCATCCAGCTAGTAAGTCTATCGTCTTTCAGTAGAACAAGCTCTCTTTGCACTTACAGGGATGAGACAAACCCTTTACCACTGAAAGGGGTGCTTACAATGATCAGCTTTTATTTATGTAAAACCTTTATCCCAAGAGGGAAATAAAACTGCTCCTGTTATTCTTTATAAGGTGCGAGCTGGAGTTGGGCTTTAACCCCTCGCTTTCCTGAGGATTTCCCCCCCCCCCCCCCCCTTTTCCTAAA